AAAAAAAAAAAAAAAAAGTCAGTGCTTAGCCTAAAGAACTTACCAAGATGCTGTCTAAAAAAAAAAAAAAAAAAAAAATTTAGGCTTTTGAAGCTGGGGATGTATCTCAGGGTAAAGGCTACAGTACCATAAAAAAAGAGAACATAAAAGTGGTTTAAAGAGCCTGCAAGCAGGCACAGAGGCCTGGGAGTTTGATCCCCAGGCCTGCCTTGCTGGCCCTGCCCCCAAGACACACCAAGCCGGCAATTGAGGCTAAGCATGGTGGCGTGTGCCTGTAATCCCAGCACTTGGGAGGCTGTAAACAGGCGGATCACTAGAAGTCCAATCTAGTAGTGAAATCCTGAACACCCTGTAGACCCTTCCTAAAAAAAAAAAAAAAAAAAAAGAAGAGCACATAGCCCAGTGTTCCACCCAGAAGCGATATGTGGGGTCAGTGGTCACTAAATCAGGACCCACTGTGACTGAACAGATCAGACCTTCAAGAATAACACAGGGGGTGAGGAGATAGCTCATTATAATAAGCACTTGCCTGCCAAGTCCAAGGGCCTAAGTGCAATCCTCAGTTCTGCTAAAAAAAAAAAATTAGGTCGGCTGTGGATGCCGAGTCTTTCTCTCCTGCTACAGGATGGGAGTCCTCATTTCTATTCTGCTTCCGGCTGCTGTGGGAACACCAGAGACACTGAGTACCTGGGATGGTGCCGAATCACGCGGGGATGGGATGGGCATCTCATCCCCAATGTCCACCCGGCCGCAGACTGCCGCCTCCTGCCTCAGCCTCCCAACTAGCCAGAGGCTGTGTCTGGGTCTTCGCTTTTTGTATTGGCCACCATTTCACCCCTTGAGCAGGACCATTTGTCTTGATATTTAAACTGGGGCGGGGGGGTGGGGGAGAGGAATGTCTGGTACATTGGCAAAGTCCGCTAGGAAAGGGGTCACCCCAAGCACGACCGGCTGGGATGAGGAGCGAGGGATGTGAACCTCGAAGCTCTCTCTTCTGGCTTGTCTCTATTTGCCCTTCTTCACTGAACCGCCGCAAGTTACTCAGAGCCTCTGTGCCTCCGTTTCTTCCTGTGGGAAATGGCGGCCGACCTCCTACGGTCTTCCTGAAGTTAAAACAGGCCTGGAAACCAGGACTTCTCCAGCATCACCGTCATCATTGGCTATCATTACAGTACTTCCCCTATTTCCCCAAATCCTGCAGTCTCCAGACAAAAAAAAAAATAACACCGAGATTTCGCCGCGCCGCCTAGTGGTAGCAAAGGTGTAATGCAGCCCCCAGCTCAGCTCTCCCTGGAGACTTTTCAGCGCTTGTTAATTTTTTTTTTTTTTTTTTTAAGTGCAGGGTCTATAGGGTCTCACTACACAGATCCGACTTGCAGTGATTCTCCTATTATCAGCCTCCCAAGCACTGGGATTATGGGTGCTCACCACCACGTCCAGTCTCAGTCTTGCCTCTCAGCGCACCCCGGGGACTGGGCCGCACAGCAGGCCTGGGGATCGAACCTCCGACCCCCGTGTCTGCCTGAGCAGGAGCTTTAATTCGCTGAGCTATCTGGCCGGGCCTTTTTTTTTTTTTTTTTTTTTTTTTTTTTTTCTTTTTGAAGGTCAGGCCAAGCTGGCTTAAAACCAAGGTGACCATAGTGACCACAGTACCCTGGCCCCTACTGTGCCCTCCTACCCTTCAAGCCATAATGTCAAGGTGACAAGTCCATCTTTACCGGCTTCCCACGTATTCAATCTTGGGGGCCAACTATGGGTCCAGCTCTTCCCGCGGAACCAGGGATGCAGGCATGGGACCCACAGGTGACCACCTCTTCCTTCACAGTGATATCCTGCTGGGAGGGAGGGGCGACAGGATCCACAAAACACTGCTCAATGAAGCCTACCTCTGGAGCCCAGCTGTGGATTTCAGGAACAGCTTGCTCAGGGCTCATGCGAAGCCAGCCCCAAGACGTTATTCTTCCACCTGATGGCATCATTGTTTTAAGACCTTCCCCTTGTATAAAAGAGACTCTGGCTGCAGATCCCAAGTGATAGGGAGACTGAGGCAGGAAGACTGTTTAAACCCAGGAGATAGGGGCCCTCTTCGACAATGTAGCAAGAGTCACCCCTTCCTTCCGTAGTTCTAGTCCTGGTACTGGAGATTGAACCTAGGGCCTTGAAGCTGAGCCATATCCCTTGCCCTTTTGTCAAACTTGACTTCCAGACAAGCTCAGACTAAGCCACTAGATTGTCCAACCCGGGTTCAAACTTCCGATCCTCCAGCCTCAGCCTCTTAATGCTAGGATTACCGGCGTGGGCCACCACACCAGGTTGAGACCCCCATCTCTTTAAAAATCTGCATCCCACTCAAAATGTGGAAGTGTGTTTCCCAGGATTCCCTGCCAACCCCTCTCAACTCATTAACTACACCTGCAAAGGACCACCTCCCCTCTGATCTCTCCCACACCAGGCCTAGAACTGTGAACTTGGGGATCACCGCCTCGTCCTCTCCTAGAGTCAGCCCCTTCCTGAGGAAGCTGACCACCTGGGGCTCAATTCCCAACCCTTTTATCCACGCATGCGCAACAGTCACACAGCTGCCCTGGCCTCTGGCCTCAGTTTCCCCATCTGCAAAATGGGGGCAGCCAGACCCACCTCACGGTGAAGGAGTTAAAGCCCCGGAACCCAAGGCAGCCCCAGGGCAGCCCAAACCCCAAAGGGAGTTCGGGCCCATTTGAGATGTATCCACCCAGCCCCGGGCACTGCGCCTGGCACAAGGGAGGCGCCCGAGACGCTCTCCTCTGAGCGGGGACCAGGCCCCAATAAATAACATCTGTTGTCGGTGCTGCGGATGTTGCCAGCCAGGGCGTGGGTGCTTCCCTCCCTCAGTGGCTCCGCTACCCCTCCCCGTCCAGGGCGCCTTCCCTTCAAACCTCCCAGTCTAGCTCTCCCCGTCCCTCCGTGTGCTCCCCGCTGTCCATTCAAACCTCCTCTGCCCCCTACTCGATCCCGCCCTTCCCCACGGGAGCCGGCTCCCACCCCCACCCCTTCCTTTCCTTCATCCCCTCGCCCGCCCCTCACTCCGCCCCATCACTCACCCCACCCCTCCCCCGCCCCACGCGTTCTTGATCCATCTCCACCACGTCCCCCAATCACCCCCACACCCATTCCTAGTCCACCTCCCTAGCCCCTCCCCCACTCCCCTCCTTCCCCTCAGGCAAGCCGCGGGCTCGGGTTCCTGGCTCGGGTCCAGCCCGGCGGGGCGGCTAACTCGGCTCGGCTCGGCTCGGCTCGGCTCGGCTAGGCGGCGCGGGGCGGGCCTGGCTGGCAGCTCAGGAAGTGGCTCCGCGCCCCCTCCCCCGGCCACGCCGCGCGCTCCTCCTTCCTGCGCGGGCGGCGGGCGGCGAGACGGCGGCGGCGAGGCCGGGCGCAGGTACCGGGTGGGCGCGGGTCCCCGGTGCGCGCCACCGTCGGGCTGCTCGCACTCTGTGCGCGTGCGCGTGGCCGTCCACGTATGTGCCAGGGTGCGCGCGCCTGGGTGATGGATGGATGGCTTTGTGCATCGTTGGTGCCTGGGAGAGCTCTGTGCAGACTCAGGGCAATGTGGGTTTGTGCATCGAGTGCGGGCTCTGTGTCCAGAAGTGAGCTGAGTGTGTGCCCGGGCATGTGTGTCTCCACGCATCTGTGTGTTACTCTTGCATGTAGGGTGTGTGTGTGTGTGTGCCTGTGAGCATCTGTGTTTCTCACATGTGACAAGTGTGCTAATGGGAGTGTGTGCTCGACTTTGTGTCAGTCTCCAAGCATATGTGTTTCTCTCCAGTGTGACAAGTGTGAGTGTGTCTGGAGGGGTCTAGATCTATGGGACTTGGGAATTAGTCACCTTTGGTGTGAGCGTGTCACTGTGTAGGCCTGTGGGGGGCTGTATGTGTGTAAAACTGTGTGGGCCTCTGGTGTGTATGTGCATGTCACGTGCAAGAATACACATAGGTCTACAGGGGTGTGTTCTTGTGTCAGCGCATGCACTTGCAACTGAAGGGGTCCTTTGTGGGTCTGCAGGTGTGGTGCCCCCGGTGTGTGTGTCTGTCTGTCCCTGCCAGTGTGTGTCTGTGTCTGGTGTGGGAGCGGCACCGCCCACTTCCCCTGCGGGGTGGGAGCCCACAGTGCCCTCCGGGTCTCCTTAGCGGCTGGGGCCTGTAATTAGCGGCTGGCTTTTGTCTGTGCTAGGCTGGGGCCTCCTCCCTGCACACTGCTGGGCCAGATGTGCCCGGAGGAGGCCACAGGCACCTCCAGCCTCTGCCTGGCCTCGCACGACCGCAGCCTGGGTGGGGAGACTGGGCTGCCTGGAAGGTGGTGGCCGCTGGTCTCCCCAGGATCCCGGGATGGGCCAGAGCCGAGCTTCCGGCCGGCTGTTTGGGAGAGACGTTTCCTGCTCCAGCGCGGCCCCCTCTCCCAGGCTGGCGGCCTCCCTCCTGCCTCCTGGAGGCGGCAGTGGGTGATGTCCAGGCCTGGGCGTAAGCACAGACAGGGTCACTGACTTGCCACACTGCGCACACACACAGTCCTACCCACCACAGGACGGGTCCCATTCGGATGTCACCCACTGGGCTTCCAGATAGGGATCCCCTGCCTCCACCTCATGGTCCCCGGACTTGCTGACTCTCATGCTCCGCCCTGCCCCCACCAACCACACTGGGCTCTGTCACACTCCCCTCCACGCCTGCCATGGCCCTGATGAACACAACCTGCATGCCCTCTGCACCCCTGTGCCTCCTGCTACAGCCCCTGAACTCTAGACAGCTCAAAACTAAAGGCCAGCTGCCCTCCTCTTCCCTGTCCCCTTCCCACAGAGGAGGCCACTGGCCCAGGGTGCCCTGTGCTGTGAACAGCCAAGGGAAAGATCCACACACGTGTGTGTTCAACACCACACCACCAACAAAAGCCCCTGAAAGGTATTTCCAATTTCAAAAAGCCACTACCAATTCATAGATGGTAATAGCCTAGCTGAACTGAACTGCAGGGTCTCCACTAACCATGAGTGAGCTCCCTGTGGCTGGAGGGATCCAAGTGGAAGTGGGGGAGGTGGACTTTCCTTTGGCCTCTTGGAGAAAGCCCTGGCTTCTCTCCCTCTCGGCCCAACTGCCCTGTTTGGGGATCAACTCTCAGACTTGGCCAGGCCGCAAAGAAAACAAGACAGTGTGTGATTAAGGGGGATTTTGCAAAGAGAAGGAGGGCGGGGGCGGGGGCCTGGCACAGGCTGGTGGCCTGGGGTGGTGTCTGCAGCGGCTGGCCTGGGGCAGCGGCCTGAGAAACTGAGACCTGCCAGGTGGGCCTTGGGCCTCCGGTGGGCAGCACAAGGAGCTGGCCACAGATGTGCTGAGAAGAGGCCTGGGAAGGAATGGAGGGCCCTGGCCCTGCAGGCCCTCCCCCAGTGGGCTTCACCCTTCCACCTCTGCTCACCACAGGTCCCACCCCCTCACCCCTACCATTACTGCCCAGGAGTGGCCAGGCCCATAATCAGGAGCAGCAACTCTCCTTGCCCCTGTCCCCAACCCCCACCCAGCCCAGCCTAGCAAAGTCATCACTCAGTGAATGAATCTGGGTCCCTCACTGGCCTCATGATGCAGGGCAATCTCCACCAACCCTGATCTATAAAAGGGGAGCGAAAGAATGAGACACCAGCCGGCTTGCTGTAGATGCTTGTAATGGTCCTCCTGGTGCCCCCACCTGTCCTCTGGGTGTAGGGTGCTGTGGACAAGGAGTGCGTGGGACGGGCAGGTGGAGGATGCCTTGGCCACCATGGGGCTGGGCCACAGGGGCTGCAGGTCCCTCTCTCTGAGCCGAGTCTCTTCCTCCCAGGAGCCAGCGATGCTGCCCAGGCTGTGAACAGGAAGGCAGCACTGCAGGGGCTGCCAGCAGCCAGCGGGGCTGGGGAGAGACATGTGGGCTCGTAGCCCCTATGGCTCCCGCCTGCCAGATCCTCCGCTGGGCCCTCGCCCTGGGGCTGGGCCTCGCCTTCAAGGTCACCCACGCCTTCCGGTCTCAAGGTAGGAGCCAAGCCTTAGGTCCCAGCGGTGCTCCATGGCGGCTGGAGGGAGTGAGGAGTTACGGAGGCCCGTTGGGTGCCAGGGGAAAGAATAGCCTGTGGGCCAGTGTGGGGGTCACGGGGGCTGGGGATGGCACCACCTCCTGCAGCAGCCAGGGCCCCTGCAGGCCTCCACTCTTCCCCACAGATGATTTCCTGTCCAGCTTGGAGAGCTATGAGATCGCGTTCCCCACCCGCGTGGACCACAACGGGGCCCTACTGGCCTTCTCGCCGCCTGCCCCCCGGAGGCAGCGCCGGGGCACCACGGCCGAGTCCCGCCTCTTCTACAAAGTGGCTGCCCCCAGCACCCACTTCCTGCTCAACCTGACCCGCAGCCCCCGTCTCCTGGCAGGCCACGTCTCCGTGGAGTACTGGACACGCGAGGGCCTGGCCTGGCAGAGAGCCGCCCGGGCCCACTGCCTCTATGCCGGGCACCTGCAAGGCCAGGCAGGCACTTCGCATGTGGCCATCAGCACCTGCGGTGGCCTGGTAAGCGGAGAACTCTGGGAAGCAGGGTGGAGAAGCCAGCGCCTGGGGGGAGGGGCTGGGGGTGTGTCTACAGATCGGGCCGGGAAGGAAGCACAGTGGGCCTTGTTAAAGTACTCTTTGGGGTGCAGCTACGGCAGCGCTTAGAGGAAAATGTTGCAAATATATAGGCTGAACATCCGCCTCAACAAGAAAGATACACTGGGGCCGCCTGTAAGCAAACAGATGCTCCTTGAGACCAGAACACTAAGGAAAGTAATCACGTGCACAGACTTGCCTCACAGGGTTTCTCTTCTATGACAAACCGAAGGTATAAATAATTTAAAGATCACAGGAAAGAGAGGTGGGCCTTTTGCATATAGGAAGGGGGGGCTGGAGCTGGGAGGCAGGGGACAAAGTTAGAAAGGATAAAGGGCCAGGAATATAGTTCAGCAGCACAGCACCCGCCTGACAAGCATTAGGTCATGAGTTCAGTTCCTGACACACACACAAAAAGGATAAAAATGTTATGTGCACTGGTACTGATTCCCCGTGGTGAATGTATTCATTATATATCACAGATAGATACTAATGAAAGAAAGAAGTTAGCGAAGGAGCTAAGTATCGTGGTGCATGCCTGTCATCCCAGCAGCACTGTGGGAGGCTGAGAGTAGGATCGCAGGTTCCAGCCTAGCCTGGGCCACACGGTGACTTACCAAGATCCCATGTTAAAGTGGAAACTGGAAAAGGGTTGGGGATGTAGCGAGGTACACAGGCCTTGGGCTCATCTGTACTACAAAAGAAAAGAAGCCAGGGGGAAAAGGAACAGCAAAACAAACTTGACAGAAGAAACTGTAAGGGTCGGCCGATAGTTCAGCGGACTTAAAGGACCTGCTTAAGCAAGCACAGCGATAGTGTTCAATCCCCGGCGCCACCTGCCATGCCAGCCCCGCCCCCAGGGCACGTTTAGACTAGATTGAGACTCAGCGTGGTGGCGCCTCCCAGCACTTGGGAGGCTGCAAACAGGAGGATCACTATGAGTCCGATCTGTGTGGTGAGACCTTGTAGAATCTTATACTAAACACATTTTAAAAAGAGAAAAAGAAACTGTAAAGACATAGATGGGGTTCAAAGGGCTCCCAGGAAGCAGGACCTGACCTGAGCTTTCTGTCCCCAGCACGGCCTGATTGTGGCTGAGGAGGAAGAGTATCTGATTGAGCCCCTGCGAGGTGGGTCCAAGGGCCCCCGGGGCCCGGAGGAAAGCGGCCCACATGTGGTCTACAAGCGCTCCTCTCTCCGCCACCCCCACCTGGACACGGCCTGCGGGGTGCGAGGTACCTGCATCCCCTGACTCAGGACAAGGGCTGCCCAGCACCTCCTTCCCAAAGGCAGGCAGGGAAAGAGTCCCATTTAGCCAGTTTGGGCAGCCTCCGCGAGCATGCTGGGCGAGCAGGGCCGTGCACAGTGGGGCAGCCTCAGTGAGCATGCTGGGAGAGCAGGGCCATGTGCAGTGGGGCAGCCTCCGCGAGCATGCTGGGCGAGCAGGGCCGTGCGCAGTGGGGCATACTCCACGAGCATGCTGGGAGAGCAGGGCTGTGCGCAGTGGGGCAACGCAGCCGTGATGAAGTGGGGTGGGTGCATCGCTGCTGAGCTCACTTGGCTTGACAGTGAGTAGAACAGCCAGACCTGCCCCCAGGCCTAGATCCGTCGCTTTTTGCCCAATCACTGTCTCACTGCACAGCTGAGCTGCAGAGAATCTCAGCGCAATTGAGGGCGTCAGGAGGAACCTCAGGCATTTGGGGGCTGGCAGCTGGGAGAACCCTAGTAACTTTGCCAGTGTGATCAGTTGTCAGTTCTTTAAGTGGCTGCTTCCACAAAGCTGTCAGCCTCAGGTTGCTGTAGTTCGATTCCCACAACACTCCAGCCAGCCAAACCACACCTGAGGGCATTCAGAGAAAAAAAAACCTGGGGGCCTGGCCATAGCTCAGTGTGATCAGTTGTGCAGTTAGAAAACTGGGTGATGGGGCTGGTGAGATGGCTCAGTGGTCTAAGGCACCTACTTAGAACAAGCTGCAGGGCTGGTGAGATGGCTCAGTGGTCTAAAGCACCTACTTAGAACAAGTTTAGCAAAGCACAGGGACCGCGGTTCAATCCCCCAGCACCACATGC